GAAGTCTGCGATATGTTAGTCAGCGCGATTGCACGATCCAGGCGTTGGAGGCCGAACTCAGGCTAGAGAAACGACGGAGACTGGCGGTAGAGAGCGATGTGGGGGTGGGGCGAATTGCTAGGCACCGTGCGGAACTCCAGCTGGCTGGTATCAGGAAAGAGGTGCAGTTCCGCACTGGGGCGTTCTCACACGTAGGGGTGCATGCTGGCTATACGTTGGCACTCAAGCGAAATTCCGCCCAGTGCTCACAGATTGGCACATTGCAAATGGTAGCTGCTGGCGAGTTGCATGGGAACGCCGCCGACCCCAAGACGATCGCGAGATTCGAGCCCATGGTCTCAGTGGCAAAGAGAGTACGGAACCATATGATTTACTTCGCGGCTGAAGAGGGACGCACCAACGGTATCAGCGAGGTGCATTTGATATCATCCGACGCTACTTCGCACGAGCTCGCCGACAACAGCAAGGCTAGACGTTGCAATCAGGTTGCAGTCCATTGTGTGTGTGTGGCTTAAGCAGGCTCGAACACCTCATATCATATGAGATATCATAATGGTATCTCATATGAGGTGTTTTTTTGCACATTCGGCCCACGTTTGTTGCCCCATGTTGTCTGGGCCGCTATAGCCACGCACGAATGCACTACAGCTGGATTGCGCGCCACTTCCCAAGGTCCATATGTCAATCGTCAGCTCCATTGTCGCAGCGCACGCCAGCTTCAACCTCGATGGGGACATCGACGCGTGGTCGACGAAGATGGCTGGCGATTTGCAGAAGGTATTGCGTGGTAATGCTGATGAGCATCACGGGCTCCTCCTTCGCGACCTCGAATCCACGAGGTGCCCAACGTGGCGCCAGCGGGTGGCCGAGTCTGCAGATGCGCCAACGCGCATGAGCACCTTCTGTTTTGGAGCCGATGCTGGCGGTGAGAACAGTGCGAGCATCAAGCGTGCGGTTGCCGAGGTCAAGGGCCACCGCAACGTTGCCGCGGGGCGTGTCACTTGCATTTTCCATGGCGCTCACTTGATTTGCAAGGATGTGCTACGATACTTGGAGAGCGACTTGGACGAAGCCTTGCAACGCAGCCAAAAGTATGTGTCAGCCCTCGCTACGGTCTCCAACGTTTGGCGATCTACGGGGATTGCGAGCGCCATTCGCCAGTGCGCTGGCAACTCGGATGAGATCCCTTCGGTTATCAAAGCTGCGTTCAAGCGAAGGCCTGGGAGGGTGTTGCGTGGACGATGGGGGTCGGTCGATGATATCGAATCTTTGTTGAAGCGGGTGGCGCCACATATGCAGCCAGTCTTCGAGAAGGTTTTCGAGAGAAAGATCAAGGCAGCTGAGAAGGCATTGGCGCGGAAGAAGAAGACTGACCCGGGCGAAGACGAGGACGTTGCTTTCCAGACCGGCCAGAAGAATTACAGGATTCTGGCTGTGCAGGCTGCGTCCTCTTCGAAGTTCAAAGCTCTCGTCGTTATTTCCAGCAACGTCAAGCGAGTTTTGCATCGACTACTGACATGGGGGGCAGAAAGCCGTGATGGAGCAAAACCGGAGAACAACATATGCGAGTGCCAAGGGTGAAACATATTTGGGACCTACTGCCATGTCGAGGCTTGTTTGCACAGAAGCCCAGTCGATGTGGAATTCTCTCAATGAGCAGTTGTTGCCTTCTACTGAGCACGACGTCAAGGAGCGGGGGCTGGTGTTCGAGTTACTTCCTGAAGAATTGCATCTGAAGGCCAGGGATATGATCATGTCTTTACTTCTTTTGGTCGCGACGGCCTTCAGCGTCAGGATACTGCGCAGAACGCGGAGCGCGCCGCTGAAGCTGTTGAATCTCCTCGAGGGCGACCCTAGAGAGCCACGCGATGTGCGGAAAGACATTGCCTCGGAATTGCTTGACCTTGATGATTGCTGCGTTGGGCGGCCCGACAGCGATATAGCGGTCAAGTGCAAGCACTTCTACAGGTCCGACTTTGAAGTCGCCCAATCAACGGGATGTGTACCAGTGGGGTTGCACGGGGCGCTGCTGTTCCTCAGGGCCAAAATCCCACTTGACAATCAAGAGCTCGAGGGGTTAGCGTCACTGCCACAGCACATGTTCAGGTCGGCACCTCGGTCGAGCCATGCCCTCATTAGCGATCGTGTTGTCATTAAGAAAGGTGACCCAATTTCAGCCAGCGAGTGCCAGAGCTTGCATGCGCTCGTGCAGGCCGAGTTTCAATCGCACGATCACCACCCGTCGCTTCATGCCAGTCGTTGACACGCCGCAGCCGCGCAAGTGTGCAGCGCCAGTCTGCGGTTACTGTCGACCCCTCGAGAACGTGCTGGCAGCGCCTTACGCTTGGTCTATATTCGATCACTACTGGCAAGGTGCTGGGTTTGCTTGGTCGTTCGACGACCCGACAACAGACAGCAGGAACTCTTTTGTCATGACGTGGTCTTATTACCGAAATGTCTACGTCGCTCGGTGTACAACTACCCGCATAGATGGCGACGACACGCGGCGCCGCGTGACCTTGCATCAGCCCTTTGCCATCGACACGCTGACGAACTTCATATCCGACGGCTGCGCCATGTTCGCCATCACTGCCGAGAGGCGGCCTCGTGCGGCCATCAAGTTGTATAGGGCACCCTGCGCATGGCCTGTCCTGGGCACTGGTTGCCACGAGGCCGCGTCGGAGCAGGAAATCGAGATCAGGCCGACCAGAGCGCAGCGACCGCCGCGCAGTCCGGCAACCGGCGAGGGAGGCACAACATATGCTCGAATGCTGGCACACACAACACCTTAACCAACTATCTTCAGTAATTGCAAGGGGGGGCAACTCATCCTCCTACTTACCCTCCTCATCCTCCTCTTTATTCCTCCTTCACCTATTCCTCCCATCCCCCTTCCTGTAGTGCCGACTTTCACCCCTCCTAGACTCCTGGACTGATTGGACTTGGGGGCCCTGGGCCGACTGAGAGACACACTGGAAGCGCGCGCTCTCCCACCCCCTTCCTCCCCCCTCCCCCATTATGCTGCAATTATCGTGGTTAGTTGGTTTGGTGTGCCATGCAATTCTAGCGCATGTTTCATCAGGTGGGCACGCAGGCGCCGATGGGAACGACGCTAGTGGTGACCTTGGTGACGCTGGCGCTGACGGGGGCTGCGAGGATCTTACCTTCGAGGATTTGGGGTCGATGCTAGAGGCTTACACTGAAGAGGACGAGCTGACGCTCGGAGACGACGTTGCCACGATCGCCGACCCCGAGGAGCAGCACTACGACTCTGATGGCCATGAGGTTGGAGATCGTTCTGGAAGTGATGACGATGGCCATTGTGATTTCGGCGATGATGCAGCTATGGGGCCACTAGGGCCTAAGCCTATCTATGATATCACCGACTTGGGCACTGTCGAGCAGTGGCGCGATATTCTCGCACAGGCGCGCGATGCCACGAGAAGCAGAAGAGAACTTCTCAGACATGCAGATGCGAAGGCAGCCTCTCAAACCGATGCCGAGCTGGTGAATGGCAATATCTCATTAGTTACCAAAGCCGATACAACATCTTTTGTGCATTGGAGGAATGGTGCCATCTTCGAGGGGCGGGTGCTCACCATCGACCATCGTGGCCGCATCGTGGCGTTGCATTACGCCAAGGACAAGCCTGCTTTCTTCCCCGCGGCTGAGGGCTGGAGCTACCCAATGAAGGACGTCGGGCAGGTGTACTCAAAGGGGGGGCCTGGCGAACGGCTGGACATGCCGCAGTGGTGCTTGCAGAAGCAGCGTTGGCTGCGCCTCCAGCATTTTTCTGGGCCACAGGACCCAGCGTCGTACGAACAGTGCATCATCTGCAGTGCCGCGGTTGCGGTCGGCCTGCCAGAGCACTCCGAGATGCTGCGGAAAGTTGCAGGACTTCATCTGCATGGCTGCGTAATTTGCACCGCGCCCTGGCACATAGAGCGCTGTCGAGTGGTCGATCCTGGGCGCATCTATTTCGAACGCAATGGAGTTTGAAGCTAGATGCTTGATTTGAGGGGTATCTTCAAACAAGAGGGGGTCTGTTTGAAGATGGGCTTGGAAAACAATGGCTAGCATCAAACTCGTTTGAAGATAGCCTTAAAACGCAACGTCCAGCATCGAGCCCTCGTCCCTTCATTCCCCCCTCCTCCTCCTCCCGCTTCCCTCATTCCCCCCCCCCCCCTTCCTCCTCCATTCCTCCGCCGCCAAGGCCTGACACCTTGCATGGGGCGGGGGCGAGGGCTCGTCCCGCCGCGGTTCTGCCCAGCGCCAGGGCGCAAGTCAGCGTGACGCCTGGAGGGGGGAGGCGGTCCACCTGAGGCTTGGCCGCACAATGGGAGTGGCGCTCCTGCGTTCCCCCTCCCTTCCTCCACGTTCTCCCTCCAGGGGCCCGATGGCAATTTTTCGTTTTGGGGTTATCGCAATGGGCCCTGGTCCGCCTCCCATGGAAAGTAAAAATACAAGTGAAACCGAACGCAAGGGTGCTCCTCCCGTAACCATTTTGGCCCAATCACAAGACATCAGGGAGGGCCCCAGCAGAAATCCTCGGCAGTAGCGGGCCCATTGCCAGCGGGCCCTGTCCCCTACGGCCCCCTACGGCCCCTTACGGCCCCCTACGGCCCCCTACGGCCTCCTGCGGCCCCTACGGCCTCCTGCGGCACCCCTGTGGCCCCCTTGTGGCCCTTGTGACCACCGACCCATGCGGCCCCCGATGGCCCTGGGTGCTAAGTATGGGCGGGCGGGGAATTACGCAGTTCTAGTTCGAATTGCGTAAGAAGCAACTGCCGCCCGAGAGCCCCTAGTGGGACCAGCCGCTGATGCATAACTGACGTATGCTGACGTTCCCTCATGCTGAGTGCGCGTCCTCCTCTCCATCCTCCTCCGTGACCATAGCCATTTTGGCTCGCCCACGTCGGGTGGATTTGAGGATTTGCCCTCGTCGGCGCGCGCCGCGCGCCCAACCCTTGGCCGCCCGGTTTTGCCGACGCCCAAGCAGCATGGCGCGCCGCGGCAAGGGGGGCGGCGCAGCGGAGGTCGACCAGGCACTCGCCGAGCTCGACATCGATGCGCAGGCTTTCACCCCCCGAAGCACCGATCGGACAATCGCTGACAAGTACGGGCCCAACAAGAGCGACAAGGAGTACGCCAGCCTCATCGACCAGGACTTCTGCATCGACGCAGACTACCACTTGCAGTATTTAGATTCGAGTGGACGCTTTCGCGTCCATCGAAATTGCTTCAACGACAGGGGCGAGATCGGCTCGCTCATCGATCGCCAAAAGTCGGTGGAGAGCGTCGGGGTCTCGGATACAAAGTCGGCTTGGCTCATACAAGACGAAGACGCCAACAATAGTGATGGGCTCAGTGCAATTCATAGCGCGGCGCTCCTGGGCGGGCTGAAGCGCGCGTGGCTTGCCGACAAGGGTCGGAAGAACCGCTCCGTCCAGCTGGGCATCCAAGAGGGCATGCGCCACTGCAAGCTCTACCGCAGGGGCATCTACCAACACCCCGAGTGTTTGGTCTTCCTGAAAGAGCTCGGAAACAAGACCAATGCGAATTGCACTGACATCACGCCGTCAGAGATCTGGAGAAGCACGCGCATCGGCCGTGGAGGCGGCGTTCAACAAGAAAGCTCAGGCATCGAGCTGGACGTACTCTGGTCTCGGGCAGAAGGTGTGGAGGGAGAAACGTTGGGAAATCGCCAATGCCATGTTTGAGGGTCGTTGGTCTTCGCCGAACAACTATCGTGATTGCCAATACTTCTGCAATGCTGCCACGACGATCTATCACGACGAGGATGCCGTGCACCCCTACCTTCCTGGAGTTCGGCACGAGTTTGCTGGCAAGTCTATCTGGGAGGAGCTCGACTACAATATCAAGAACGAGGTCGACTTTACCCGCATGCCGCTTGGCCACATTCACACCGTCTTCAACCTTGCAGCTACGGTGATGCGGACCTTCAAGCAGAAGCCGACGCTGATCGTCGACATCGTTCTCTTGATGCTCCCGAAGGCGAAGCGCTACGAGGGTGACAGCACTGCTTGGGGCAAATGCCAGCTCGCCCCTGATGGCCTCCCACTACTGGTAGGGGTCAATGAGGCCAGCTTGAAGGGCTCGTTGGATGAGATCGGCACGGACTCGAAGCTGTGCGACGCCCAGAAGTTGGCAGCGAAAAAGGCAGCGATCAAGCAGCGGATGCATATCGCCACGAAGCGCAAGGCAGCGGAGGCACGCGGCGGCGATGGGCAGGAGGCGGCGCCCCAGGCAAAACGCCCTCGGGGGCGCGGAGGTCGCGCCACCGCTGCCAGTCGAGGTCGAGGCAAGGGGCGCGGCAAAGGCCCAGCCAGTGGATCTGCCCATGAGCCCCTTCCGCTGTGTGACGGCGGGGAGGGTGCATCAGATGCGGTTGCAGGGCGGGACGTGGATGTCGGCATCGACGTCGACGCCCGTGGCACATTCGCCGATCACATGTGCGCCACCTCCGCGTACCTCGCGAAGATCGACGAGAGTGGAAGGCAGTCGGCCAAGATCGGAGCATTCTGGAAGAGCACGCTGTATGCGGCAGCAAATGATGTGGTGCGCCTGAAGCTCGGGTCGAAGGATGCGATGACGGAGGTCAGGGGTTGGATCATGCTGAGGCAGATGTTCAAAGTGCTGCTGTACAAGAGTGCAGAGCTCACTGCGAGACCGAGCGATTGCGATAAGGACTTCGTCGTGGCCGCATCTGCCGACAACGACGACGACATCGGCGCGACCATGTCGGTTGCCCAGCTGCAACAGAAGATCGGCGAGCTGAGCGAGCCTGCGGCGACGCTGCTCGGCATCCTCCAGCAATCTAACCCTCGCACCGTCCCCGTCGCGGCCAATCTCTTGTCTGGCGGTGTGATGAACTCCGCTATGATGGCGCTGCTCCAGCACGTCGTGACGATCGGAGGTGCGTTCGATACCGAGGACAACGCGTGCGCTTTTCTCGTCAAGGTTCTGACCGAGGCTGTCTCGGAGAAGCTCCCGAGATCCTCCGACGACGTGGCCGAGCTCATCCAGGCGACGATGAATAGCGACAACATGCCGCTTCTCTCTGGCACGCCCTTCGAAGACATCATGAAGCTCAACATAGACCAGAACTCCATACTGGTCATGCGCGCTGGCTTGCTCGTGCACTGCTTGAAGACACTGGGGGGGCCAGAATTGCAACGCCAGGGAGGGGCCTGCTACTACGTCGAGACCGTACTTACCTGTGTTCGTGCACCAGATGACCGACAGCATCATCGCTCTTACCGGCTTGACGAACGAGGCAGTTCGGAATGCGATTGGTGGCCACGTATTTGTTTTGAATGGGATCCAGAGGGCGACAGGCATGAGCTTTCCTGCTTTCTGGCAGCGGGTCTACCAGAAGTGTCTGGAGTTCAACGCGCACTGCAAGACTCACGATGGCATCGGCTTTCAGCAGAGCAAGGACAAGCTCTATGAGGTTTTGATGTCGAAGTCGCACGCGAAGTTTCTGTGCACCGTCAAGGAGCACGGCATCCAGATGCCGCCAGGCTGGGAGATCAGTGGCAACATCGACGTGTTCCCTACGCAGCGCCAGAAGGCGGTGGCCGACGTCGTCGAACAGTTCGTGAAGCAACACCCGTTGTCCCTTGATGCGTGCGCTAAGCTAGCAGACCCTCTCGGCTCGGTCGTGGCTGGTATGAAAGGTCAACACCTGCCGCAGGCCGCGGGGCGGCAGGGGCAGGACGTGCAGATGGTTTCAACTGGCGATCTTCCTGGCGGCGAGATCAGGAAGTTCGGGCCAGCGCCGCTGACCCAGTGGCGCAAGGAGATCCTGGCGCAGGAGACGGCAGAATCCGCATCGCCGATCGGCAAGCAGAACATCGCGAAGCGCTACCTGATGAGCACCATCCAAACCGTTCTCATGAAGAGAGCCGCCATCGACTATGATGCGGACAACGTGGACCCATCCAATCTCCCCATCACGCGCGATTTCGAGGTGGACCCAGAGAACCCGAAGATCACGTTGCAGCGCGCGGCGGGCGCTGGACCTTGTAAGCTCACTTTCTTCGGGCGCGTGGTGGAAGAGGCAGCCGCGCAGCTTCTCGGCAAGGCCACCGCCGTGCAGATCGTCGCGGAGACTGAAGGCGACGAGAGCTTCTACATCGACGGCAAGCTCTACATCGACAGCGGCAGGTCGGACTGCAGCGTGGCGTTCCTCATGCCGCCCCTGCCTCCCTCAAAGAGCTCAGTTTCGGAATGCGGGGAGCCGTCGAAGGTGCAGGAGAAACAGAAAAATGGTAAACAGCCTTTGGTCGCCACCCACCGCATCGAGTACCGCGCCGAGGAACTGGAGGACCCCTTCGGTTGCGTGCACGTCTTCAAGATGCCCTACTTGACGGACATCCCCGATGAGGTGGCGATCAAGCAGTCCGAGCTGGGCGCGCTCTATAGGGAGCGCGCGCCATTCGACGATCACAAACCAGAGAGGACGAGTGCCAAGAGCACCAGCTCTTTTTTCACGCGTTGATGCAGTGCTCTGCTGTCCGACGAAGTTCGATGCTGTTGACTGGCCGCTGTTGCGGGTTGCGATCGGTCTTGCATCTTTTCAGAGCCAGCAGGTGGCCCCCCCTGCTGGCTACCAGGAAAGGGGAGGGAGGAGGGAGGAGGGAGGAGCTGGGGAGAGGGCACGTCACAGTCACACGTCTGAGTTTGTGTGTCGGGATGAAGCCATAGCTGAGAAGTACAAAAACTGACCAATGACACCGACCGTTCGTTGCCCAATTGTGTCAGAACATTGTAATTGTCACTTATCTTTCGTGTCTCAACCGCTCGTTGCCAGATGCCTTAAGGGCTTCGCCCTCTGCCGTCAGCCCCCCCCAGTACTAGTGCCTACTAGTGCGTGCGGCTACGTGGATCGTCCCGCGGGTGCTTCTCGTGGCAGGCTTCTCTTGGGCCCCTTCTTGGGGCCGTATTGGGGCCTTTTTGGGCCGTCTTGGGCGCCCCTTGGGCCATCTTGGGGCCTTCTTGGAGGCGTCTTCGGGCCTCTTGAGGGCCTCCTCTGGGTCTGTTGGGGGACTGGGGGCGGGGGCGGAGGGGAACGGCAGGGAGTGAATGGGATTGGGATTTACCCGCTGACACGCCCCATGCCAGCAGCTAGGGCAAAACCTGTCCGTAGTCAGTATTGCCATCACCGCCTTTGACACAATCGCTATCATCATAATTACATCACATACAATGCAAAACACCACGATCAATACCAGCATCACGACGACACCACATCATAGCAACTATGTTGTATACTAGCACCAGCATCACTACCGCAGACATACGAACCCCTCACAATTTGATTCTACGATTTACCACGAACAGCAGGCAAGTGGGCATCCCCAGACACGAATACGAGTAGCACTAAGAAAGGAAAAGAGGAGGAGGAGAAGAAGGAGGAGGGGGAAGAGGAGGGAGAATGAGGAGGAGAAGAAGGCGGAGGAGGAGGAATAAGAACAAGACAGGAAGGCGACGATTAAACATAAGAGTACTAAACAAGAAACGGAGTAAGCCAACTAATAAGAACACGGAGAAGACTACTCCGAGGTGAAGTATAACAGTCCGAGGAGGAGGAAGAGGGGGGAGGAGAGAAGGCGGAAGAGGAATGACCATGTTGATGACGATGTTGATGTTGCTGTTGCTGCTGATGATGATGATGCTGCTGATTTTGATGATGATGATGATGATGAAGATGAATATGCTGAATATGATGATGATGATGACGATGATGATGATGATGATGATGGTGATGGCGATGGCGATGGTGATGGTGATGGTGATGATGATGATATGATGATGATGATGATGATGCTGATGATGATGATGATGATGATGATGATGATGATGATGATGATGATGATGATGATGATGATGAGGTTGATGAGGTTGACGAGGTTGATGAGGTTGATGAGGTTGATGAGGTTGATGAGGAGGAGGAGGAGGAGGAGGGTGAGGATGAGGGAGGAGGAGGAGGAGGAGGAGGAGGAGAAGAAGGAGAGGAGGAGGAGGAGGAGGAGGAGGAGGAGGAGGAGGAGGAGGAGTTGGAGGGGGAGGAGGAAGAGGAAGAGAACGAGATTGAAGCGCATTCTTGCACAGGCGCAGCGACGCGGAGAAGTTCCGCGCAGAACGGTCTGCGAGGCCACGGGAGGAGACGCCCCGCGCACCCCAGCGCTGGGGGAGCGAGGGCGGGGGCGGGAGGAGCAGGGGGAAAGGAGGGAGGAGAGGAAGGAAGGAGGGAGGGAGCAATTGAGGGAGGGAGGGAGCGAGGGAAGGAAAAGGAGGACGACGAGGAGGAGGACCAGTGTAAACGCAAGAGTCATCAACGATGCTGGAATGCATCCTCCCCCAAGCGTCCTGTTCATAGGCCCCATACAACTGTTCATTCCCATTGAGGGAGCTGCCTCTTTGGAAGACAGCCGTTTGAAGACCCTGAAGCGTGCCAAGACATGTTCTCGGGATTCCAACGCCACGTATCAACCTGACTGTTGCGTCTTGGCAACCCAGAATCGTGCCAGAACGCCGTTCTTGGGACTTCAACACAGCGCATCCAACAGCGAATCCACATAGTTGTTGCACCGGCATGATCCTGAATCCTTATTTCTGGCACGTTTCTGATGGGGATCCGTGAAACGCTTGCACATTACGAATGTGCGCGGCGCCCAGGCGAGAGCCATTTATTCAAAAGGAACCGCCTTTCAATCCGTGAAATCTTCCAATTTTGCGAACGACTGTGAGCCGCGCCAAGACGAGAACCACACTTTGAAAACCACCCGCCCTCAATCCGTGAAACGCTGGCAAACTTACAACAAATGTGCGCCGTTCTGAGGCGAGAGCCACATTTTGAAACACACCCGCCCTCAATCCGCGAAACGCCTGCAAATTCTAAAACGAATATTCGCCGCGCTAAACCGAGTGCCACATGTTGAAACGACCCGCCCTCAATCCGTGAAACGCTTGCACATATAAAGCGAGTAGGCGCCGCGCTAAACCGAGTGCCACATTTTGAAAACGTCCCGCCTTCAATCCGTGAAACTATTGCAAATGTTTAACATGAATGCGCGCCGCGCTAAGGCGAAAGTCACATTTTGAAAACGACCCGACCCGCCCTCAACCCGTGAAACTCCTGCAAATATTTAGAAAGAATGCGCGCCGCGCTAAGGCAAGACCCACGTTTTGAAAACGAACCGCCCTCCATTTGTGAAACTGTCGCCAATTCTTCTAAGCTTCAAGGTCATAAACTGTGAGGAAGTCTCAGGCGAAACGCCCGGCCCGTCCTAAAAACTGGCCCCTCCTCACCTCCTCCCCTTTCCTCCTCCTCCTCCTCCTCCTCCTCCTCCTCCTCCCTTTTCCTCCTCCTCCTCCGCCTCCTCCTCCTTCTCCTCCGCGTCCTCCTCCTCCTTCTCCTCTGCTTCCTCCTCCCCCTCCTCGCACCCCGCCCGCGTCTCCTTCGCTCGACCTCTCTGACGACCGCTGCCTCCCGTCGTCACGCTCGTCGGCCCCACCAGCGGCCGGCCCGAGCCGTTCCCCCCCCGAGGCTTCGGCCCCGCCCCACCTCGACGGCGTGCGCGGGGCGGGGGCGACGGCGGCACCCCACTGGGGATAAAAGGCCGCCAGCTTCGAGGTCGCGGCAAGAGGTGCACGGCGAGAGGCCGCCCTCCCTAGACGCCGCAAGTCGGCCTGGCATGCCTTCGAGCGGCATTCCCCTCGTCCTCCTCCTCCTCCTCCTCCTCCTCCTCCTCCTCCTCCTCCTCCTCCGCGGCGGGGGGGGGCAGTGACTGCTCTGCTGGGTGCTGTATTCTGGTGCTCGGCCTTGCGCCGCGGGGACATTGACAATGCCGTTTTCGCTTGTCGGTCGGGCGTCAGCATGCTGGTTCGTTTTGTTGGGCCCCGCCCCGCGGCACCTTGCCCGGTGCCGGGGCGCTCAGTTGCGCCCACGACGCTGGAGCCACCTTGAACGTCCAGGCGCGGGGATCATGAATTTGGTGAAGTGGCGGGGCCACGTGGTCCATGAGTCCAATCGGGCCTTCGTGCCCATTCGCCCTGGGATACCAAGCCAGTTGCACGTGTCGTATGTTTTGGCAGGGGTTGAAAGTCTGGAAGGACCTCACAGTGAGGAGGTGAGACGACCGTCCCCCTGCGCACCACCGCCAGCACGCATGAGTAACGAGTCACGGGGCGACAAGGCGCTGACCTGTACGTCGACCGTGTTGCGTGAGCTCATCGCCGATGAGCTAGCCCCCCCTGCACGTGGGATGGGAGGTCTCCCCGCGTGGGGGCGGAGGGTGGCCAGGTTTTGCGATGAGGCAGTACTCTCGTGTGAGGCAGTCCTCTCGCGCGGGGTTCGCTTATCTGGTCTCCATGGCTCCACGGTTACTCCTCCTCCTCCTCCTCCGCCTCCTCCTCCCCCTCCTCCTCCTCCTCCTCCTCCTCCTCCTTTTCCTCCTCCTCTTTCACCACATTCTCCAACTCCTTCTCCTCCTTCTCCTCCACTTCCTCCTCCTCCTCCTCCTCCTCCTCCCCCTCCTCCTCCTCCTCCCTCCTCCCCCCCCTCCCCCCCTCCCCCTCCCCCTCCCCCTCCCCCTCCCCCTCCCCCCCCCATCCTCCCCATCCTCCCCATCCTCCCCTTCCTCCCCCTCCTCCCCCTCCCCCCCCTCCTCCTCCTCCTCATCCTCCTCCTCCTCCTCCTCCGTCTCCTCCTCCTCCTATTCCTTTTTCCCTCCTCCTCCTCCCCTTCCTCCTTCCTCCTCCTCCTCCTCTCCCTCCTCCTCCTTCCTCCTCCTCCTCCTCCTCTCTCCTCCTCCTCCCTCCTCCCTCCTCCTCCTCCTCCTCCTCCTCCTCCTCCCCTCCTCCCCTCCTCCCCTCCTCCTCCTCCTCCTCCGCCTCCTCCTCCTCCTCCTCCTCCTCCTCCTCTCCTCCTCCTCCTCCTCCTCCTCCTCCTCCCCCCATCATCTTCCTCCTCCCTTCTTCCCCTCCTCCTTCTCCCCCTCCTCCTCCTCCTTCTCCTCCTCTCTTCCTCCTCCTTCTCCTCCTCCTTTCCTTCCTCCTCCTCCTCCTCCTCCTCCTCCTCCTCCTCCTCCTCCTCCTCCTCCCTCCTCCTCCTCCTCCTCCTCCTCCTCCTCCTCCTCCTCCTCCTCCTCCTCCTCCCACTCCTCCCCCCATCTACTCCCCATCCTCCCGCTTCACCTGCTCGAGTTCCTTTTCCCCTCCACAAACTTTCTCCTCCTGCTCCTCCTCGACGGTGTGCGCGGGGCGGGGGCGACGGCCGCGCCCCACTGGGGATAAAAGGCCGCCAGCTTCGAGGTCGCGGCAAAAGGTTCACGGCGAGAGGCCGCCCTCCCTAGACGCCGCAAGTCGGCCTGGCATGCCTTCGAGCGGCATTTCCCTCTTCCTCCTCCTCCTCCTCCTCATCCTCCTCCTCCGCGGACCTTGTCTGTAGTTTTTGGACACACAGGGCAACTTTGTTGCCGTTGTCCGTTTTGCAGCGTTTGTCCTCGGTTTTGGCGCCGTTCGTTTTCCCGTTCCGTCGCGCGCGGTGTTGCCGATTCTGGCGGACCGTGTGAGTTGCTTTCGTTTTTTGTTCCATGTTCGAGTTCAGGATTTCTGGAAACGGCACGAAACGGCCCCGCCGCTCCAAGCGACCCGTGAATCCTTCGACCCGTCAGCGGCACGAGATCCCACATGATTGCTCGAGTTTTTGGAGACGGGGGTCTGCGAGCGGGGGTCAGCCAGAGCGCCGGATCTTGCAGGATTTTGCAGAGCCAGGGGCGCATTGACCCGGGCTAACGCGGAGGATCCTGCAGGATCATGCAGGGTCTTGCAGGATCCTGCAAAACCTGATTGGCCCGAGTTTGCACTGACGCGTTCGGTGGGAGTCCGTTCTGCGCTTGTGATTTGGTGGCAGCCACACGGCAGCAGGTACGGCAGGGTCGCGTCGTGTCGTCGCGGCAGCGACCCCGGCGGAGGCCATGACAGGGATCATTCCGATTCGATCGATTCGATCCGATGCGGGCGCGCCCGATTCCGATTCGATGTCGATTCGACTCGGCGCAGGTTGAAACCGATTCGATTTCGATTCGATCTCGATCCGATTCGATTTCGATTCGATGCGCCGCCCCCCCCGGGCTCCCCTCATGCTCCCCTCCTCTGACTTTGGCATAATCCACATGGACGGCCGCGAACCGGTCGGTTCGGTTGCGTCGGTGTCGGTCAGAATCGATCGGTTCGGTCGGTTCGGTTGTTGCGGAGTCCTTGCGTCGTCGCGCCCTCTTGGGTTACTTCGGTTGATTCGGTTTCGCCGCGGGCGCCTCGCTGGCGCCTCGTGCCGGCCCAGGGGATCGAATCCGCCGGTTTCCAGTTCGGCTTCGCTGCCCACGGATTCGCGCCGATCCGACGCCGCTTGGCTGTTCCCGTTGAAGAAAAAAGGAAGAGGAGGAGGAGGAGGAGGAGGATCAGGAGGAGGAGGAGGAGCAGGAGGAGGAGGAGCAGCAGGAGCAGGAGCAAGGAAGTTGGTTGACTGATTGGCCGGATGTGCGCAGTGGCGCCTTGTTGGAGGCTCCCTGGAGGCGCAAGCTCCAGAGGCTGCCCGGAGGCGCCGGAGGCCCCGGGGAGAGAAAAACGATGTTTCAGGCCTCGAAAAATGCGTTTTCGACTCCCGGGAGCTCCGGAGGCTCCCCCGAGGCGCCAGAGGCCCCGGGGAGAGAAAAACAATGTTTCAGGCCTCGAAGAATGCGTTTTCGGCTCCCGGGAGCTCCGGAGGCTCCCCGGAGGCGCCGGAGGCCCCGGGGAGAGAAAAACAAATTTTCAGGCCTCGAAAAATCCGTTTTCGGCTCCGGGGAGCTCCGAAGGCTCCCAGGAGGCGTCGAAGGCCTTGGGGAGACAAAAGCCATTTTTCAGGCATCGAAGAATTCGTTTGCGGGTGGCCCATGGCGCTCCAGAGGGCCCTGGATGCCACCCCCGGTGCAGCCGGGGCGTGGGCACAGTTCGGGCTAGCAGATTCCCATTCGATTTCGATTCGGCTTGCGCTACCGACTTGCAGCCGATTATATTTCGATTTCGAATCGATTCGATGCAGCGCCCAGGCATTCCGATTCGATGTCGATTCGATGGCCGCCCGATGCGCTCCGATTCGATGCTGGTTCCGGTTCGATTCGACGTTTCGATTCGATGCAGCTGTCGCCTGCCATGAAGCTTGAACGCCGACGTCGGCCTGGAGCTGGCCGACATCTGAAGACCTGCGCTACCCGAGGGCCGCGATCGTTCGAGATCGAGCCATCCGCGCGGTGCCCGGAACCGGCGCGCAGGCTGTCGCGGCGGGGGCCCGCCACAGAGGAGGTGGGTGCTGCCAGAGGTGCCCCTGGCCCCAGCTGTTCCCCAGTTTTTCGCTCCATTCTGAAGCCCCTGGGGCACTCTGGGCCTCGTGAGTCACCACCCACCAAACCACCCCAACCCAACCCGAAGGCCTCAATTTGCCCTCCATCTCCAGTGGGGGGGGGGGTCCGGGAACATCGAAAAAACACATATGGAGCCCATACCCCCCTAACCCGAATTTCGGGTCTTCGGGTGGGGTTGGTGTGGTGTGGTAGGTAGTCAGTGAGGGGTGCTCTGGAGGCCGTGGGGGACTCCTTGGAAATCCTGGGGGCACCTTGGGCCAGGGGCACTTCAAGCAACACCCGAGGAGGAGGCGAATGAGGATGATGGGCAGTTCACAGTGCCAAGCCCCGCTGTTGCCTCCTCCTCGGCCCTTGCGCAGCCACAGGATCCCAAGGACAAGAAGGGGCAGCGCGGACGGCAGGCGCACGTCTTTTTGCATTCTGCCCCGCCTTGCCGAAGGCGGCGGCATCAGATCAGGCCCGATGTGCGTCAGCTCTACAGTCGGACCTAGGCATGAGATCGAGGTCGACTCGGGGAGGGTACCCTACTGTTCTTCTCCGTGTGTGTGTTGGATGCTCTGCTGCATCCTGGGAATGGTACCCTTGGACGTTGTGTGTGTGTGTGTTTTGGCCGACGGAGGGTCTCATGTTCTTGAGGGATGTTCTTCTGGCCTAGGTCCAGCTGTATCTTGATCCCGATCCCCATGGAGAGGAGAGAGGAAGGTGTCCTGGAGAATCCGGGGTACTTGAGGTTTTGCCGTTATCGTGCTCCTGGAGAAACAGACCTGGCAGCGGCCCAGGGTGCACCGTCGCATGGTTGTTGCGTTGCCTCTTGGGGGCCTCTTGGTAGGACAAGGCGGAAGATGTGGAAGAGGTGGAGGAAGGATGAGCGAAGAGGAGGAGGAGGAGGAGCAGGAGGAGAAGGCTGGGCCATATCGACCAGATCCATGCTTGTGAGCATCGCCGCTCTGCAACAGGGGTTGCGCCGCAGGTTTGAAAAGGAGACT